GCACATGACACTTATCTTTGTTAAACGGCATCCTATTCTGTTCCACCCACTTCCCCAGCCTCTCCAAATCCACCTGGATTTGCTCCCTGCCCTCTAATTAGTATACCTCTCCCCATAGTTTGGTGTTATCTGGAAACTGGGACAGGGTGGTTTCTACTTCCTCATCCAAGTCACTAATGAAGATATTGAACAGTCCCGGTCCCAGGACAGAGCCTTGTGGGACTCCGCTGCCTACATTTCTCCAGGTAGAAGCCAACCCATTCAGCACCACTCTCAGGGTGCGTCCCATAAGCCAATTTTCCACCCACCAGACTCTGTAATAATCTACATTGCAACTGTTTAATTTACTTATAAGAATTGGGTGTGACGCTGTGTCAAATACCTTTTTAAAATCCAAGTAAATAACATCTACTTCTATTCCTTTGTCCAAGCATTTTGTGACCCAGTTGTAAAAAGAAACCAGGTTAGTCAGGCAGGATCTGTCTGCTATGAACCCATGCTGGTTGCCCCTGAGGTCCCTTGCCCTTGCAGGTCCCTTCCAGCCCTACTTCTCCATGACATCTATGACATGGCTCCAATGACGTGAAAGGCTGCAGGGATCTTTATCCTTTTTTCCCCCTCTCATTTTACTCCTCTTTTCACATCTGTTTAAATTTAAGATCTCTGCAGCTCAGGAGGAAAGAGAGATCATCATTTATCTCAGCTCTATATGTACAGGGCAGGGGGCTGGCCCTTCTTTAACGTTTCCAGAATCAAGGATTTTAAAGACTATGGCGGTTCAGGCACTAAATTGGGGGGTTTACTAATGAGACCAAGCATTTTTTCCGAGTGGGTTCTTCACCATGAAAACCAAGTGCAGTAGGACCGGGAAGGCGCGTATAGGTGGCTAGTGAGACAGTGGAGCATAAAGACTGCCTGGGGAGTAGCATCCGTCAGATAATGTCTCAATGGCTCATAAAAGAGTGTATAAAACAGGTTTTTCTTCCCAGATCTTTTCTCCCTCTGACATTTGGCTGCCACGTATCATGTCTTGGCTTGGTTGGGTAGAAATGATGCCATAACAAAATGGACCAAGTCATATTGGCATGACTCCATTGGAGCACTTGGCAGAGGGCAGGATTGGGCAGCTTCCAGTGGTTTCTTAAGGTTTCTTCCAGTGGTTTCCTGTGCATGCGCTGCCCACCCGCCCCCTCCCCATGCCTATCAATGAGGAAATGAGGCTGCCACTCTCGAGACCTCTGTCCCCCTCATGCAGGAGTGGTGGGAGGGGATACCTCATTTCCAGGCCCAGCGGGCGCGAGCGGTGGGGGGTGATCACGTGGGGCTCTACTCCGGGTTGGGTATTCAGACAAGAGGTGGGTGCCACGCTTCTCATGCACTTTTGTGCATGCTCAAAAATGCAAGTTCAGGCTTTGAAGGACTTTATAGGCCAAAACGTACGTGTTCTCCTGACCCCTTCTTGCAGCGATAAGAGAGAAGGGGGCATTTAGGGAAAGCAAAAGGTGGCAGATTTACGACTGATGAAGAGAGAGACTTCCCTGCACAATACACAGCTGGCCTCTGGGACTAATTGCTAGAGGGTCTCGGGGAGGCCGGGTGCATCTGGGGCCATTTCTCTAGAAGTAACACACACCCCCAGAGTGGGAGCAATAACACAGAACCAATGAGTTTTAGCAGGGATCTAAACTCCCCAGTGGCAGGACATGAGCCAAATTTGAACAGGGAGATCCTTTACCCGCACTCTGCAGGATTTTGAAATCTTATTTTCGAGCAGCTGGTTCTGACCATGGTTTAGAAAGAAAATGCTGGACTAACAGGTGTAATGCAGTCTGGCAATACCTGTGTTACTACAGCAGGTAGGCATTGTACATGCTTCAGTACATACAGCTGGACACAACATTCCCAACATCCTTTTTTTGTTGCTCAAAACTCGTTTTTAATTTTTTTAGATTTTTTTGTGTGAGAGAAAAATTGCCGACTTCAGGGAGCACTTCTTTGCCGCATACAATATTTTAAACATTTTTAAAAGGCAGCATTGATTTTAGCACAGATGGTTTCAAAGCCATTATCAGAAAGGCCCCATGTTCCCAAATCCAGGTTTTTTTTGGTAAATGGGAAAAAAATGCAAATTGCTGAAAAAACCATGGGGACAGGGTTCATGAAAATACCCAAGGAAATGAATAAAAAGTGCCTCGAAAAATTTGAACTCTGCAAATGAATGAAGCAACTTGAACATTTTCAGTCTTTTTGGTGAACATTACTATCATTTGTCAACCAGCTGTACCAGGATGTGTGCACATTTTGGGGAAATGCATAGTGCTAATGTTTGTGCTTGGACATGCTGAAGTCATTTCTGGTTGTATTTGCAGCTGCTTTTCCAGCTTCCCAGCTCCACGGCTCCTGCCCCTGCCTCGGCAAGGCTCAGTAATTCAAAGCTTCTGACTCACCCGGTTCTATAGTACTTGGAAAGTCTCATGGGAGGTGCTGCTCGTGTCTCATCTGGAAAGTGTCTCATCTAGAGACAGAGCAAAAGTGATTTGGTGCTTCCTGCCGACGGCTCCCCGTGACCTCATGCTGTAGGCGCTCCTTTAAAACCAGAGTGGCAGAGCAGGTTGGAGTAACTCTGGCAGTCAGAAATACCTTGGAGCTCTTGGCAGCTTGCTACTCTGTGCGAAAGCAGCCGTGGGTTGAGAGAGGGAGCACAGGTAAGCTAGACCCAGATGAGACAAACACCAGATTTGCTTAGAGTCTTTCCTCTTTTATTTCTCTGACTTCTGTGATATTTTCACCTGGGCTTCCTCTGCATCTCTTATCCAATTCTTGATGGGGGCTATTTTCTGCAGGATATAAGATCTCCTTACTGAAGCCCTGCTTCTGTCTTGCCTCCCACCTTATGTCATCATTTCCAGCAGTGCAGAAGTGAGTGCAATATAGATGCAAAATGCTAAGGGATCAGGATGATGCTGATATACGTGCACTTTGCTGGGATACAAATGGCCACATCAAAGTGCTGGGCCAGAAGGCATCAGGCCCCGTTGTTTTAATGTGTTTCTATTTTCTTTATTTTTCTATCATTATGTCCCCACTCGTGCTGAGGAACTAGACGAGTGTCTTAAATGTAGTCCCTTAACGACTATGATGAGGGATGGCTCAGTTTGCTTGTGCTTTGTGTACAATACATTTGCTTTAATGTGGCTTTCCCCATTTCTCTCCCTTTCACATTCCTTTAGAAAATGCAAAGAGAGGAAACTGGTCTCATTGGCACCATTGTATATCTGGAATAAGTCCATTATCTCAGATTGACACTGGTATAACTGGGAATAAAACTGACTTTCTGCACTCGCTTTTGGAAAGGAGCACTTATAAAGTACAAGTTGTAAACATGGAGCAATAAGCTTTTCTTAGATCAGCATTTTTCGCCCACTAGGCTATTGCCTTTCGGTGCTTTAAAAATGTAAGGCACAATGCGGTTAGTATTATCATTCCATATTTTAGACTTCACAGATACGGAGAAGTGTAACTACAACACTTTGTTATCTTTGTATTGTATCGAAAGAATTCAGGTGCCCAAATCTTGTTGGTTTTCTGTGGATATCAGGTACTTGAGTCTAAGGTGGCATTTTCAGTAGTGTCTAAGTGACTTAGGAGCAATAGCCAAAATTGTAGAAAGTGATCAGTGATCTGGGGTATTAGGATTGAAATGCCTGATATTGGACAACCGCCTGCTGAAAAATGAGGTTTTTTTATTGCATCTCAGATTGCGCCCCCCTCAACTATCAATCCCTGTTGAAGTTTCATCAAAAGGCAATGGAAGTTACATTCCTAAGACTTAGCTCTACTAAAAAGCCCAAACTTTATCATAAAGATGTTACAATTGCTAAAACACTGTGATGAAACACTCATTTCACAAGTAAGTTTTTGAAGTGGCAGTTCACACAGAGGGCAGGAAGCTGCACCTTCAGCCCCGGGCTTGAACTGGGGTTGAAAAATCCTTTTTGGTGTGCCAGTCCAAAATACAGAATAATGGACCTGTTTAAAAAAAAAAATGAGAAGAACACTGAAGATGAGGTCTGTTTTGGGACAGGGACAACTTTTGGCTTTCAAGAGAAAGCAGGAGAGGAGACAAAGCATTCCACTTTCTACTGCCTGCCCTTTCAAAACGCAGTCTTCTGCTGTCGGTCATCATCATGATGTTCTGTTATCTCCAAAGGCATGAAAGATCAGCACCCACCGAAGCTGCACGTCACTGCTGTCTATGCAGCGACATGGCCCGTGTTTCAACCCAGCCCCATTTCTGTTTCTTCCCCCTTCATTTCTTCGGTATTTACCCAGAGGAGTTTCTTATCTGTTGGCAATCTCGCTTCCCTGAGCTGTGCACTAAAGGTGGAGTTCACCTGGTGTAGAGGAGCAGCACAATCCCCTTGCTGCACTCAGACCAAGAGGTGAGTGCAGCCTAGGAGCTGTGCCAGTTTTCTGCCCAGGGATGAAATTCATCCCTGGAGAAATTGTGGAGGAACGGCTGATTTACAAGAATAAACCCAGGGAGCAGAGCTCAGCCATTCCTGGGAGGGACTTTACTCCCGTTTCCCAAATGAGAAGCTCTTCTGCATAACCATGAAAGTGAACTTAAGGGAGAAGAAACAGAAACAGAGCTGGGTTGAAACACAGGACCTCCGGCAGCAGAGGTGGCCGCTGGGGATGGACAACAGGGCTGAGAGAGGTCCTGGCGGCAGGTCCAGGGAAGCGTTTCTGGAGTGATGATGAGCATTTCTGGAGTCGTGGAGGGAGGTGAATGAACATGCTGCCTTTCCACATGCATCAGGAAGCCCAAGAGGCTGGGCTAGCAGGGAGGACATTGCAATTGTGCTTGAACAGATTGGAGACGCAGGACAGGCAGAGCTGGTTAGTCCTCCTCCTCTGTGGCACAGACTCACCAGCTTCTCTCCCTATGCAAAGAGAGCCCAGGAATGACAAGCATATTTT